TTTTGTAAATGTTTTGATATTGTCTGCTGTTTTCGGGGCATTCAGTAGTTATTTTTCTTGTTTATTGATTGTAGATTTGTTTATTTTTTCCCTTTTTAAAAAAAAAAATTTGACTATGTCTGAGCAGGCAGACTGTGTGTTCTTTGTTGTTTGCTCGTCTGTGCGCTCAATACTTTTCGCCTCCTTCTCCAACTGGCAGGTTCAGTCACTTAGATATGGTCCAGCAGGGCAGGTCTAGCTGAAGAGGAGTTACTGTGATGGGTTGTTTGTGGCACTTACTACAGCCACCAGGGTGGGTCGATAATCAGTGCAGGGCAGGTTCCAGTAGGCTGTGCCTGTGCTGCTTGGTGGTGTGATGTCAGGCGCACGGTGCAGGTAGGCAGGATGTAGCGGGGAGATTGTTACGTGTGGAGCAGTTGTTTTGTCTCCCGCTGGACGCTCCGTGAGGCTGCTTTCTTGTACCCCCGTTTGCTGGTCTCCGATAGGAGTCCAAGATGGTGGATCTGCGCTGCGTTAGCTGGTAGGGGACCTCTGCGTGAATCTGTCCTCGCTTCCGTTCCCTGTCAGTTTTCTCACTCCATTTGGTGCTTGGCTGAGTTCTTTATGTCTTCATTTGATGTTTTAGGGTTTCAGGATTGTTGTATTCTCCGTTCGGCTTAGTTTTTCAGATCTTTGCTGTGGAGGGACGGGGTGGTGCTTCTGCCTAGAGTGCCATTTTTTAGGAATAACTTTTTCATCTGGATAAAATGTCTTAAAGCTGTGAGAGAGAGGTTTCCCAAGCTCTAATCTACTGTATTTATTAGTTATATAGTAGCTGCATACAGAGAAATCTTTTTTCCTCCCATTGAGCTGTTATAATGAAACATAAATTTATGACCCAATTGTTGCTTAAATTTTTTTATATATATATATATATATAATATATTTAACAACATAACTGTTGAAAGAGAAGCTATGTTTACATCACTGTTGGCTAATGCACAAAGTGAAATGCTTTCACATGTTAAACTACAGAATGGCAAATTAGATATTATGGTCAATTCTCAGAAACAAGAAAAGGAATAAAGTAACAGAAGACTGCCACTTTTTTGTTCTCTTTTTAGTAATTTTTTTCCTGAAGTCTGTATTGTATGATCTCTGATGTCATTGAGAATGTATGCCATTTACTAAGTTAACAAACTTGTAGTGTTCTTTCATATATTAATATTTTTAATTTGGAAATAACTTCAAAATCATAGAAAAGTAGCAAGAATAGCCAAAGAACCATTTAAGAGTGAATTGTATACTTTATGCCTCATACCCTTAAGTACTTTATGTGTGTTTCCCCAAAATGAGGGCATTGTCATAACCCTAATATAGTTCTCGTTTATAGGAAATTTAACTTCGATACAATACATTTATCTAATCAGCCATCCATATTATTTTTTTTTTTCAGTTGACACAGTTATGTCTTTGATAGCATTTTTTTATCTCAGAGACATGATCCTGAATTGAATTTAGTTGTCATATCTGTTTAGTCTCCTTTAATGTGAAACAACTTCTTGGCCTTTATATTCTGTGAGATCAACATTTTTGATGAATACAGGCCAATTTTTAAAGTAGAATGTTCCTCATTTTGGGTTTGTCTGAAGTTCTCTGTTAATAAAGTTATGCATCTTCTGTCAGAATACTATGTAACTGATGCTGTGTCCTTCTCAGGATATGACATCTAGAGTTTCAATTTATTTCTGATTGTAAAGGTCTTTGTTCCATCCATCCCATCATCCACCATTTAGTGTATCATACTATATTAAGTATAGGCAGAGAACCTTCTACCCTACCCCATATCTTGGTGAATAATTTTTTAATAAATGTGAATGTTAAATGCAATATGCATTACATATATTCTGTTTGAACCCTACAATATCAAGTATAGAAATGAAATTTATGGTGTTCATCCTCACTATACTTACCTTATTCAAATTAGATAAAGATTGTTGTTTTATAAAAGATAGTAGTTGAGTTTTCCTATTTAAAAATATTGACTGCTATAAAATCCCATTTTTAAAATTTAATTTCATACAGAATGGGAAAGAGAAGAACATGATAAAAAGCAAAGCGAAAATACATTTTTACTGAAAAGAGAAGAAAAGCCAGAGTTAGAAATGAGAAGATACCAAATAGGAATGAACCAATTTCAGGATACTGATAAATTGGAAGAAGATGAAGAAGACAGACTTAAGAGAGAAATGCTACTTGCTAAACTGAATGAGATTAACCGAGAACTTGAAGATTCTCAGAACCTAAAATATCCGCCTCTGCCATTGCTACCTGATTTTGAATCAAAACTAGACTCCCCAGAGAAAAACCCCAAAACATATACGTTCTCTGAACCGTCAAAGAGATCATTTAATGGGCATCATTTGCAAGACATCAGTTTTTTAACTACAAAAGGAGAGGGCCAGAATTTAAGAGATACTAGAAGCGCAGCGTCTCCAAATGAGTTTGCATTTGGTAGCTATGTGCCTTCATTTGCAAAAACATTAGCGAAGTCAAATTTATTTAGTCCAAGAAGTGGTCTTTTGGAGTTCCAAAGTAACACTATGGAAAAACTTAACAAAGACAATGTAGATTTAATTACGAGAAAAGAAAGAAAAGCTAACCTGATGGAACAGCTATTTGGTGCCAGTGGCAGCAGCACGATTTCCTCTAAAAGCAGTGACCCAAATTCTCTGTCTGTCAGCAGAGGAGACTTTGACCCTCTAAATTTTCTCTCTGGGGATAAAAGCAGCAGGAGCATAGAACAAGATGAAGATGATGACTTTTTCCTCAGTGAAGGAAGAAGTTTTAATCCAAATAGAAACAGATTAAAACATGCAAATAGTAAACCAACAGTAAAAGCAGTTGATTCTGTAGAAGATGAAATTGAAGAAGTAGCACTGAGATGACTGACTTGATTATGTATTTTTTCCAGTTGTAAATATTAAAGTATTTTAATACAGTATGTATTATAAACATTTAAACTTGTTAAGAATTCCTTATTAAAGAATGATTTTTAATAGCTAACTACAATGCAGATTTTAAAAAGTAGATCATATCCACACCACAAAGCTAGTTTGCCAAGAATGAAGGAAGGTTTTTTGAGTGAAATCAAAAATAGATTTATCTTACTTTTTACTTATGAATCAGTTTTACCTCTTAAGCCAGCTCTATGGGAAGTTTTCCTCCATTGGAGGTCATACTCATTTCCTACTGTTTATTTTTTTGGTCATATACTCACTGAGCTAACTACAGTCTTCCTGCTGATTTTTTTAATGGAAATTAAGAGTGAGAGGTTTTGTGTTGGGAAGTGTAGATCCCATGTGATGGAGAACAAATGCTACTTAAGAGCCCTGCCCTTTGTGGATAGGGGTGGGGTCCCTGTGCCTGGTAAGGCAGAGCCATTCCTAAGTGCTGGCATGACAAGACAGCATTGAGATTTCCTTTTCCTTTGGAAATACAGTTAAACACTACTCATCCCAATTACAAATCTCATAAAATCACTTACCTACAGCTGTGATACTAGGTTGAATTCAGAAGACTTTTTTTTGTATGTATGGACAGTTCGTTCCCCTCTCTCATGGGTCCCTGAGGCTTGGGTACAGTGTCATCAGTAATGCCTCTCCTTGTTCTACATTCTGTATGTCTCAGTGACTGGGTGTGAGATTTCATACCGAATACAAGGAATAGAAGAAATTTCACTGCAGTGTAGAAGGTTTTCAACTCAATTATGTTTCCAGAGTAATGTAATTTGGAAATTTTAATATGTAGTTTTAATATTTGAACTTACCTTCATCCAACAGACAACAATAGCATAGTACTATTGGACTTACAGGACTGATTTTAAAGCAATCTTGAATAAAAGTCTTTTAGAGATGGGGCGTCTGCTTTGTTGAGTAGGGTGGATGGTTTTCTATTGAAACGCATTGGTCTTTTTTTTGGCCATTTGTAATTCACTTCAGCTTGGATTATGCTGGGTATGATTGGATGATTGGTCCTTAAGAAGCACCAGCCAAGGAGAAAACACCGATAAAATGAAGACTGGTGGAAATAGTGTGTCAGGGGAAGAATAAAAATTTATATTAGCACTTAACGTAAAGTGAGCTCTTTTTCAGTAATTTTTTTTAAACTACATATTTACTCATAATTTGATTTCTGATGCCAAACATACATATTGAGAGGACTAGAGTTTTTGTTTTATCTTGAATTCTTACAACTGCTTATTATTGAATACCATTTCACTACTACCTGACAAGATTTACCTACTTTGGTCTCTAATTAAAAGATGTTCCACCTGTCATCTTCTAATTGGTGTTCCTGTCATTTGTTGAGAACAGAATCCCCTATAAGTGAACTATATTAAAAAGTTTTCTTAATAAAGAGATTTTATGTCTTACATAAATAAACATTTAGTATTTTGCAAATGATTCCAATATATGTAAACAATATTATTGTAATGCAATTCTTGATGAAATGTAATTATTATGTAATGTTAATTTTGTTCATAGCTGCTAATTTTTCTACCAGAAGTGTTCCATTTTTTAGGTTGTTTTGTTTAAAAGTTTATTTTTTAAGCCTTTTAAATAGTAAAGTTTTATATTCAGGTCATTTTAAGTGGTCTCTTGCTTTTTTCTACCTGACGTTTTCTAAACATCTCTTTCACCAAATGCAGCAAAACAAAATTATTAAAATCAAACGTAAAATTCAGTTATAAGCAAAAGCATTATGATGTTAAGCATTAAGATTGGAGATTAAAATATATATAACAGCTTTTTGTTTATGAAGAAACCCTGCAGAGTAAATAATTTTTCCTAAATGTCAAGTTAAATTTATTGTTTGTACTCAGAACTGTTATTAATAAAAATGAAAAACACTGTGACTCTGCATTTGAATAATGCCTTAGGTTACTTGGAAAATTTGTAGTGAAAACAGGAACCACAGGGTTAATTTTTATTTAACTATTTACCTTTCTTTTTTTTTTTTTTGCCTGTCCAGTATTTTTAGTTCAAGTAGATGAATTTGCCCTAAAACAGGTTAGACAGTTTGCTACTCTTATCAGATAATTATAGTTTTAATTAGTCCTTTCACCCTTAAATAGCTATCTTCATGGCACATATTGCTCATAATATTAAAAAAGGTGGGGGTAAAGAGGATTAAATTGAATCACGAGATAAAAACAAACTTATTTCATGGCTGACTCGCTGTTTTTCTGATGTACTCTCTATCTCATTTTCAGACATACTAAGAAGCTGGTTTCCCCAGTTGAGTGTTGGTTGGATAGAGCATACAAATCTGCCTGATGAAAAGGGGAAGAGAGATTTGAATTATGGTGACAGTGTGTTTTTAAGATTAAAGAAAGTATTGTAGATTGTGAAGAAAGAATCTGCCTTTAAAAGCTTTTTCCTTTCTACATAGTAAATACCCCTCGCACATTAAAAAGTCCCCTTTTATATCATTTGAAAGAGCCTTTAATTATTCATTAAATATTCGTTGAGTGCTTCCTGGGTGCCTTGCACCGATTTAGGTGCTAGGAGAATGTAAGATGGACCAGGCCCCTGCCCTCATGGAGGCAGCATCACAAAGTGGATGGAGAGCAGGGTGGAGTGGGATTGCATGTGCCTCATACCAGCCTTCCCATGCTCTCCTGTGTACCTTGGACTATAGCTTTCTCAGCTGTTCTTAGGTCTTATAATTCCTCTTAAGGTTGTTATGAGGAATAAATTAAATACTTACGTTAATGCTGGCACATTATTAGCACTCAGTAAAAAAATAGCTAGTCTTATAGCAAATTATAACTTTCTTTTAGAGAATAATTGGAAGAAATGGAGCACAGGTATGTATATACATTGACATTATACTTTGCACAAGATACAAGCAGAAAAAGCTTCTAAAACTGAATTAACTAAAAGACATCTGCACTAAATATATTGTGCCCCTTGGGTCCCCACTTAGAATCTGTTCCCTTACTGTATTCACCATTAAATATGCAATAAGCTTGATGAGCTTATTTCCTCGTTTATACAAGGATTAGAAAAACTAAACTTTGGAATGATCTTCTGAAGACCAGTGACATCAGGAGAGGTAAGAGTTGATGTCCTCACAGCAAAGAAAATCCATTTTTGTATTAGAGTTTTATCTGAAAGTAAGACCCAGCTCTCCTGCAATATCCACGTGTATCCTTGGATAAGTTACAAAACCTCTGCACCTCAGTTTCCTTCCTCGATAAGATGGGGCTGATAGCAGTTCCTGCATGGTGACTGGATATGTTAAATGAGTTAATATGAAAAGCACTTAGAGCTGGAAGCACTCAAATGTTAGCTGCTGCTGTTGTTTTGGAAAGGTAATTGAAAAACGGGGAGAGAGATGATATTTGTTGAATGCCAGGCATTGTACTTGGTGTTTTTATGTATTTGTGCTCATTGAATCCTCACAAAGCTTTTTTTCCAAGTAGGTATTTTATTATTACTCCCATTTTACAGTTGAGGCTAATAGATTTTAATACACAGGTGATAGATTACAGAGACATTAGATTACACAGATTGCATTCAATAGTCTTAAATCCAGAGAAATAAAATATTTTAGAGTTTTACATTAGTCCACCTGTTGCCGTTGAGTCGATTCTGACTCATAGCAACCCTATAGGACAGAGTAGAACTGCCCCATAGGGTTTCCAAGGAGTGGAAGGGGGATTTGAACTGCTGACTTTTTGGTTAGCAGCTGAGCTCTTAACCACTGCACCACCAGGACTCCAGCACTGTTTAATTTGTAAGGGACAGAAATGCAAGTCAAACTAGCTTAAACAAAATAAGGAAATAATTTTTAACTCAAATCTGGAAAGCTCAAGGAAGTGTGTGGTTGTATCTGGAGGTTCAAAAAATATGGGTAGTGCTTACTCTGTCCTCTTAGCCCTGCTGAGTCTTATTTTCAGATAAACCTTATATTTGTTAAAAATACTGCAACTGACATCTCAAACCCACATCTCTTTAGCTGGCAATTCTGAAGAAAAAGAAATCATTTCCTATGACTCTGGCAGAAGCCTGATTGGCCTAGTTTGTGTTATGTACCCATCTACAGGGCTGGTGGTGGCATTGTGCAAGGGGAAGGCTGGACTTCCTACTCTTACTTCACTCCATGGAGTGAACAAGATTTCTGTGAAATAGAGGTGTGGTTCCCTTGATGGAGGAATTTTAGACATAAGAAAACATTTATTATATACTTCAACTAAAAAAAATTGTCTTGAAAGGCTCTTAATGGAATGAGCATTAGTTACTTATTCAACACCTGTTATTCCCTGGAGCGAATAAGCCATTTCTTTAATAAGATAAAATTACAACCATTTAGGTTGAACTATGAAGCACATTTGTTATTACAGGGTGAGGTGTTTCAGCAGTAGGTAAGAAGAGTACAAAAGATGTTTAAATTACACTTTTGAGTTCATAGAAAAGGCTGAGACCCAGATACTTATTTCCCATACTAAATGCTATACTTGTGAGTGTATATCCACATATTATATAAGTGAACATATTCTGTCTCATTCTAAAAAATAAAAAATGGGCAGCCAGGGTGGGGTAGAAAGAGCACTGACTTTGGAGTTGAGGAGGTGGAGTTTTTGCCACTAGTCACAGCTTTACTCAAGTAATTTAACTTTCATTAAGGCCCCTCAGATGTAAAACGGGGCTGATCATGTCTTCCAGGATTGTGAAAATTAAATGAGACGATGTATTCTTGAGATAAAAGTAGTATAGTGACATATGTCAGCATAGGAAAACCATAACCTATTCAGCATTTTTGTGTGTTGTATGATTTTTGTATTAAAGCCCAAAAACTTTTTTTTTTTTTTTTTTGACAACAGGAGCTTGTCAATATGGAATTAAAAAAATTAAGAATGTGTTGTCTTACCCCATAATTTGCCATCTTTTATTGAAATGAATCTTGCCTTTATAGGCTCAAGTAAATGTTACAGCGTCCACAGAAGGTGCTTTGCTGCTTTGTGAGCAAGGTAGCCTGTGGGAGAAGCAGTTTTACACGCATAGTTTTGCTTCACTGACTGTTTCCATGGAGGAGTAATAGATACAAATCAGCAGCCCATACTGTGGTTTGAAGGCAGGACATTAGAATTCAGGATGAAGCCTCTGGGCCAATAAAGCCAGGAGGATGCCCCAAATAGTATGGCCAAAGGCAGCTGCCTTTCTTCTCTCATTGACCTGAATGTCAAATTTCAAAATTGCTGCCCTTGTTGATATTAATCCTGGTTAGGCATACTTTTCATACAGTCTTTAACAATACATCATAGATGTCAGTATTCTTTTTTAATATAAAGAACCCAAGAGTTACTGTGCATAGTCAGGTAATCATGGATACTAAAAACTTCTAGGTGCACCGAGTGACAAGAGTTTATTGAAGGCTCTTTTTTCTTCTATAAGAACTTCCCCCAAATCTTTAGCTTCAGTATTTGCTTCTAATCTATGTGACATCTATAATGTTTACTCTCCTAAGCACTTAGAGTCACTCCTGCAACAGCACAAATATGCATGCTCTTTATCTAAAATCTTTTTCCGTGGAGAAATTCAACCAATTGGACCAAAGAAAGAAGGCCAGGAAAATCTGTTAATGTTATTGCCTCAAAAATGATCATCAGGATCCAGAATATAGAACAATGGGGCCTACAATTCCAAAGTCTAGTTTTACAATAAATATCATATATTTGCTGGTCCTATACAGGAAATAGTGACTTTTCCCTGGACAATAACCACAGTTTTTCTCTTGACGAATAGATTCGGCATCATTTAAATAGATAATTTTGCTTTATACCCTAGGCAGTAGTTGTCAAAGTGCGCCTCACCGTCCCAGAGCCACAGCAGCAGTGTCTCCTGAGAATTTGTTAGAAATGCACATTTTCAGGTCCCATCCCTGACCAACTACATCAGGAACTCTGGGGGTGGGACCCAGTAATCTGTATTTTAACAAGCCCTCCAGGGGATTCTGATGCAGCTCAAGTTTGATAATGAGGCTTTAAGGTAACAAACACCAATAAGGAAGTGGGGGCGGAGTGGGGGAAGCTCTATCTACAGAAATGGCTACCAGCAGCATTTTGCGTATTCAAATGTAGCACTTACGGCTTGAGGTCCCGGTGTGCATGTGGACTCCCCTTTACTTCCTCACCCTGCACACTGTCTGAACCAGAAATAAGCCACTGGTTTTTTTGTTGTTGTTTTTTGTGGTTTCAACAGGTTATGGACTGCAAATGTCAGTTCTCTGGTTAGTATGTCAGAAAATTTGAACTAGTCAAGAAAGAGAAATGTTGTTGGAACAACCACATCAACAGGATTGAGTAGGTCACATATCATCCCTACATCATAGCCTATAATCCCCAGACTTTCAGAAAAACCTTCAAAATTTTGTCCTTAGAGCATTCCCTCAAGAAAAGCTATTCAGTGTAGTTTAAATTTGATGTCCTTGTGAGCATACATTTTGTTACAGCAGTAGGTCTCTTAACACTGCTAAAATGATAAACATTTCAGCTTTTTGAACGTTTGAGAAAAGTGTGTGTTTATGTGTGTATATATGCTTGATTTAAGAAATGCTAAAATTACCTAAAACGAATTAGCCTGTATAGAGGGAATATTGTTAATAAAAGACAGAAATAAGACAGAACTATGTATTCGCCTTTATTAATTTCTCATGTGTCCTCTCTTTACCATCTGTGAAGACAGATGCATATAAGGAAGAATTTCTATATACATCCAGAGGAAGTGTTTGTTTACAGACAAAGAGTAGGCTATGTTTCCGTAAGTCTGGATTTTGTTTGCTGTACAAAGTTCCCGTATGTTGTTCTCTGGCTTTCTTGATTTACATGTCTGTTACCAAAAAAAGCCTCCTCTAGGGCAGACCAGTTTCTTTATCATCTGATTATGTGGTGCCAAGTATCAGGCAATGTAAAAGTGGTCATGATGATGGGATGGGAGGAGTGGTGGTTGGTGGAAGTGGTGGTGGTGATGAAAATAGCTACATTTCCAAACGTGTACTCAAGAGAAGCTTATTCCTCCAGGGCTCAGATTCTATCAAGTACATCACCAGTGGCAAATGTATATTTGGATGTGCCAATCAAAATGCAGTGAGCCTGCGAGTTTTGAATATATCTATAAAGCTGTGATTATCCCAATGTAATTTTGACCCTGGGACTAGCAGCCTTTTAGAATAATTAATATATTGATTCTGACATTCCCACTGGAATCACAACTTTACTAAATTCCTTGCCATTCTGCTCACAGTAAACATGTTCCAGACTAGAGAGTTCTTAGTTATGAAATTCTTCTCTTATTCCTCTTCACCAGCCGAACTCATTTTCAGCTGTGGCTTAATTTCTGTTTCTGTTTTTAAGTATCTTTTTGATTAACTGCTAAGTTTGATGGAGAACAGCAGCATAATTAAATCGGTGTACATTGTCA